AGCCAGTAGAGAGCAGAAAGCTAACACCGTCCTCTGATGTTCACCAAGGGAGGCCTCCGCTGGAGCCACCCCAAAGAGAGAGATGAATGGCAATGGACGAACAGCTCGTCCAAATAGTCCTGAAAAGGTATCAAAGATGCCTTGCCAGTATCCATGTAACTTTGGACAGGACCAGAATGTGTGCAGGAGTGTGGCAGGAGATTGTTTACAGCGATCACACTTCAGATCCAAGTCCTTTTTGAATTTGTACAATCTGTCCTTAGACCAGTGTAGACGATGTACTACCTTGATTTGAACTATAACATGTTTCACACATATTGAGGTCGAATATATATGCATATGCTATATATAACTGCCAAAAATATGTCATTTCTTATTGTAAGAGCTTTGTCTACTGTAYGTCTGTCAGGAAAGGTGATGCTAGGCCTTTAATCAGAAGGTAAATTATTTCTTCTGTAATTCTAAATGAGCTCAGAGAGCTTCTCCAGCTTCAGTGGACTTTCTCAGGACAAAAAAAACCTGCTGTTTCACTTCTCACACGTGGCTGTCAAAGGTCTATTAACCTCTGCAGTGACCCTTAAAAAGTGGACCAACAAACACTGCAGTCCCATTTCTGTTCCTGTGTTCTTTTTAATCCCACGCTGCAAGATTACATCACATCCAACAGGGTGCAGATTAGGAGTCCAGTGATCTAAAGCTGTTGGTTTCATCTCAATCTGATCCTCTCAGCCCACGACGACCTCCTTTAGTGTTTGAGCTGCRTTAGGAGCTGGGTCTGAGGCCTTAATGAAAACTGGCACCAGTCTGATTCCAGTTATCCCCCGGCTCTCTACATGGGCCCTCTGGCTGAGCGAGGGCTGGCTCTTTGTTTCGGGTGCTGTTTGGATTCCGGGCACATCTGGAGGTGTGATTGGCCATCCATCTGGCCGACAAGAACTCAGCACAAGTGACAGCATGAGTTCGGCTCGCTTTCAGAGCGTCCTGCTGAATTTCAGCTGACCTGACTCGGCTTCCCTCACATCTTGTGCCAAGAGATTTTTCTAATCCTGATTTCAAGTGTGACTAAAGTGGATCATGCCGTTTTGTCCAAGACTCAAATTATGGCAGAGCTGCAGTGCAGTTTGGGGGAAATGAAAGCACTGGCACGGCATCTTAACACACCACAACAAGTGCTGGGGTTATTATTCAAGAACAGTTCTCTTAATCTTTCAGAAGTCTCCTTGATCCTGTTTTTGCTTCCCACAGAATTACTCTTATTTATCTCCCATCCTTTCAGTTTACACCCGTCTTTTCTCGAYGCTCTCGTCTCTTTGAAGTGAGCCTTTCTTCAGTCAGTCCACTTCCCACAGTCAGACCTTGAAAGCTTTGAAGATGAGAAACTCACCAACAATGTTGTGATGTTCTGACAGGCCATTTAAAGCAGACAGGTGAACAGGAAAAGTTTCTTGGCGTGCAGACGTTGTTGTTGTGCTTAACAGATCTGGTCTTGTTCCAAATGCCCAGCTTGACAGGCAGGAGTCCTTCTGGAGGGTGATTTGTTTGCAAAGCTGCTCCCAGGCCCATGGGATAAATCCTCTGAAGCCGGCTCCACATCTGTATAGAAACCTCAGGGGGCTTAGAGTTTAGATCCAAATGAAGCCAGACTTGCATCTGAATGCTTCGTGGACACAAGTGCTGCTGAGAAGGAMCTCTTAATCTGTCTTGAAACCAAAAACACATTGTCTGCTGGAGTCTACCAGCTGCAGTCACACAACTGATGGGTTTTTAAAGGTGCGTCATGTGAACTCTCCTGAGCTTAAAGCACACCTGAGGTTACAGCTCTGACTGGGTCGCA